GTCAATTGCACTCTTTTCTTGAAGAACGAAAGCTTTCCGAATTACATGTAGCTTTTATAAAACTACCTGTGTACAAAACACATTTGATTCGTATTTTTGATACTAAACTGACGAATCTCATCACGAATTGTTTGAGGGTCAAACAATGTAATCAGGGAATTGCCAGACGCTATATTTGGCGTACTTTATCTAACTACATGTACAATGCATTTTATGACAATACCTGTATAGATTATAAGCTTTACCCGCAACTTATCTTTGATGCAGATACAGGCATGCTAACGAGGCGACGGATTTCATTAACAAATCCCTCCGTATACTTCTGGTACAGGACCAAATCGTATTCTTACAAGGAACTCGATCATTATTCTGTAGTTGACATGCACACATTGATATGCACCGTCACCGGGTTTCTGCATTTCACAGGCGCGTCCTGCATTCCTGATCAGATCGTTAAATCATTGCCAGATAACGTTAAGGAATAGGGCTCAGTTTGTTGTTCTGATCGCCGTGTTTCAATCCCATGTCAGCTCAGTTACGTCACAGAGAGAGATTCTCCAACCCATTGTTTGATAGTGTGACTAAGAGCAGCGATCATCACTGCTTTAGGACAAGCAAACAGTTTTGAATCTGTGATTAAAAAACATCAAAATGAGAATTTCAGTAACACGTTATGAAGCTGAACATCGACTATTGGAATACGTATCGTTATGAAAACTATTGGTAGATAGCTGGAACATATAGTAAAGCATCTGACTGAATATTTATTACATTATTTGATACTAAAAACAAAGGCAATGACACCCCAGTTTTTCGTGTTTTCTTGTCTAGACATTATAATGGTTACCCCCAACTTGCATATTAAACGGTAAATACCTCAATGCAATTTTCTGTCCATCAAAACATTTTTGCTGTGTTGCCTAGTAACCGAGATGTTGGAGAAAACACATTTGTTTCTGAAGTGGCGGCTACTTATTTGCATATTCAGATATATCTTATGTCCTAGTTTATGATCATGAAATCGTAGTTACAAACACTTTATCTGCCAATTTTGCTTGCCTTGTTACAAATAAACTGCAGAATGTAGTTCAGGATCGGTTTATAAATTGGCAATATAACAGATATTGTGTGGATACAGACAAGTTAGTAAAGTTCTCAAATTTCGGTCGGAAACTGGATTCAGCATATTCGAATGTTTACCCTAAAATGTTCCTTGAATTTTAGTCCCAGCTTTATTTTTCAGAAGTCCCACTAGTCTGTATTATTGTTGAGAACGAATTGAATTGCTGAGATCAAGGATATTTGTTTTTGGAAATGTTGCGATATGACGTCAGGATTCTGTAGCATATAATCACATGCATGGTTCCGTGGTGTCCCAGCGCGATTTTAAAGGAATTTTCACCAACTGTAATATACTGCCTGTACACGTCTTTTTAGTCTCCGGTTTGTCGCCATAGATTACTAGGCGATCGAAGACTATACAATAACTCAATTTCAATAGATTCAGGACTTTTGGGGTCTGGGTTATTGTAAAGGATCGGTAAGTTGGACAGTCCACCGCTATTGAAAATTCTTTCTATCATCCGTCGCTCGTTATATCATCTGTTGTTATACATGTATCATCTGTCGCTCGTTATATCATCCGTCGCTCGTTATATCATCTGTTGTATTCGTCGCTCGGTGTACTTTGAACGATTCATTAATGTTAACTGGTCAGAGGCTTCGTCTACCGACGTGAGTATTGTGTTTTTCGTTTTTACCAAGTCACTGAATAATAATAAAAAATAAAAACGAAAAAGGAAAAGCAATTTTACCAAGGAAATAAACAAATTCTACTCGTTCAGATGATTGTTTCTACACCATTAGTGATGTAGAATATAGGGAATATTAACTGGTAGCTTGTTAAAACACACAATTGATAATAGTTTCGAATGTAATGTACATAATTACTGATTTCACGCAGTGTAATTCATTAATCATACATGGACCAATCATACGAATATATTGCCATATATACACATTTGATACATTTTTTAACCAATTTCACCAACAAATAGCAGAACGCAGTTTGATGATGTTGAAGCGTCAATTCAAAATGGCGCGCGTCGTTGATGGCAAAGGTGAATGCAATCAGTTGCATATTTTCTTAAAGTAATGACGTTTTGTCTGTAAGCTGACCAAAATATTTGATTCGATACCAGTGAAGTTTCATGACAATGCGTCAAACAAACTTCATCCATTAGAATCACGACAAGGGTTATATATAATACATTCTATTTTTTAAGTAACATTGACCTTGAACTTACGATCGATTTCAAGTTATTTTCTAAGTTGATTACATACATTATATAGGTAGTTTGTTTTATGATTCAAATATCATAGGAATCTTAAACATAATTAGATCTTGTGTGTTTTGAAATGCTTGATATGGTGAAATTGACCAACGTTCGAAAAAGTGTTCGTCCCCTTTGTTCTGCATATAATTTATTTGAACTGTTACATGTTTGCATTTTCTTACTCGTCTAAAACTTTAACATGACGATATCGCAAAGCAGCTGCATGAGTGAGCCCACTTACTGGGATCGCGGCCGTCAGTGCACGTGGTATATAATGCATAACGACCAGACGTACCATTACATCACTTAACAATCCGCCGGACGTGTCTGAGTGACCGGCAGTTAAAATATCCCGGTAAACAGCTAATGTACACAATGGACGACAGGCTTTAAACTATCACGTTAGTTTGAACACTTCCCGTCACTACAGAGCAGAGAGGATAGTTACGGGAACCTACCCCACTAATGGACAGCGTCGGTGTCTCTTTTTGTTGTCGTTCTTGACGTAATCGTTATACGATACTTACATGTGTTACCCTAGTCCGAATTATTCTGACGTTTTATCGACTTTCCTGTATCGGTCTGTCGTCGATTGACGTCAGAACTCCGGCCATCTATAATACGCGGGAAATAAGTGACCCGCGCCAAGGTCGCTCTTCAAGCTGATATTTTAGAAACAAATCGTCACTTTCACACACACATGTCGCACATGGATCGAAAGATCTGCATGTATTCTTTATGCACAAGATGAACATACATAGCATGCCTAATATAACCTTTACAATCACTAAAAATTTATTTTTTCAAACTTACTCTGTTTTACTTTACGTTTTTGATAGCCCCGCCTTCTAATGCCAAGTGACTAAAGTCTCGTGATAACTTTGGGAAATACCTCCGGTAACGCGAGATCTCGTCAAGTCATGTGACATGGCTCATGCCCTAATTTCCATTAAAAAATATGGGTTGGTATAGAAAACCTTGGAAAATACTGTTCGTAATGATCTTTGAAACATGTTATTGATACTACCTAGTGCATAAAGAATAGATCTTTCGATCCATGTGCGACATGTGTGTGTGAAAGTGACGATTTGTTTCTAAAATATCAGTTTGAAGAGCGACCCTGGCGCGGGTCGCTTATTTCCCGCCTATTATAGAGAGTCAGAGTTCTGACGTCAATCGACGACAGACCGATATAAAAAAAGTCGATAAAACGTCAGAGTAATCCGACTAGTGATACCCTCGCGAGATCTGTCAAACGATATAAAAAATGATGGTTATGACACAATTCGACAAATATAGATAGTAAATGTATAACAATGATAAATAATTTGTAGGATCCATGAAAGCATGTCGAGAAATACCCTTGTCATGTTTCTCACTGTTACATTATGTACCAATATGATCCATTTGACTCCAACACTGGATATGATACAGCTTATATAATTACGTGTAGCCAGTTCGATAGTGGCTGGTTGTGTGACGATGGTAACCATAGGGACCTGGGAATCTGTTACAGCATTAATGGTATTAAGCAGTTTCTTTATACATCAACTAGAAATGTGGTTTTTGATGTGAAAAAGTTAGATGGGGGCATTTTTGACACCGAGAGCCTTCCACCTTTTCGTATAAACCATTATTAGGGACGCTTTTTTTTTTTTACCGAAAATGGATCCCCTAAAACGTGCAAAATTTCACCATCCCGTAAATTCACACCAGGTAATTAATCAAGATCCTGATTTTGGTGACACAAAGTAATCAACTCTATCAGAAGATTTTAATTAAGAAATCCTCTTCTTTCGAACACTTTCTCACTAAAACAAGGGCACGACAACCATATAAATTCCAAATGTCAAGTGGTTTGTTTACTGATATTGGTAGAAAATTTGGTTTTGATAACGTCATGTCATTAACTTTTGAAAGCACGAATCATTTTGAAGATGTATTCAAGGGGTCAACACGTGTTAATCATGATATCATTTCGGCAGGCAGTTCAAGGCTTCTATAAAACAAAACAAAAATATAACTAACGAGTTATCGAACCAGCAATAGCTACAGTGTACTCATTTCTTAACTACGTTGCATGCACTCCAAAAACGACTTAATATAATGTATTCTCTTCACAATTCACTGTTACCATGGTGAAAAAGTGGAGACGGTTTGTCCTAAACTAGGATTATCTGTTTCTGGTTTCTGGCCAGTGGTGGTAGACGTGGTCTGTCTACATTAAAGTCCATTGCATAAACGATTCGTTGACTCCGCGGAATTATGGGTAATGGTGTATCGTAAGGAGTGTAATAGTGGCGTACATAAACTGGGTAGGAGGTTGAAGTACATACTACACTCTATACTAATTATAAGTAAGGAAAAGAGAAAAAGAGAACGACAGCCTCGTTTTGAGCCCACATTTAGGATCATCAATGTTAGCCTCAAGTTAATCAGACCGAATGTTAACATACAGACACATATTAATGGCTGATAAGGGAGAAAGAATTGGAAATCAGGATGAATTTGTTTGATTTTTTTTTCACAAATTTGGTTCTGATTTGATACGATCCTTGCTGTTCCGAGGACGTTCAATTCCGATGAAAGTATCCTAATTTAAACAGATTTTCTCGCCGACTTCCGACCGGTGTTCTCAATGTATTGTTTTCCTTTATGTTTCAGATGAAGACGAAAATAAAAGTATATCGGTGCTTCTAGACGGAGAGGAGTCCACTCTAGAATTCATCAAGCTCACGTCATGCTCGGTAAGTTACACATTTAATCAGTGAGTAAACATGTCAACCCTCCGCAGAGGAAATAACGCACTAATATGGCACGCTGCAGTATCACGTTTCCCAGATATGACTTCCGCCGGTCATGTATGTGCCTAGTAACTAACGATCAAGCCGGTGCTGCGAGTCTGCAAATATTTACTGCGGAGATGACGCGTAGAATCCATCAGATTCGGATTTCAGAAGAGGACTCTACGTTATTTTAACTTTCTGCGTGACAAAACCAATTGGTCTCAATGATCGATATATCCGGAAAAACTTGTTCGCTAACGTTTAATTTATTATCGCAAAAGGCGGATATGTTGTGCAATAAAACCCGAATTGTTTCCCTAATGGTGGAATTTAGCACTCTGTCCTAGATATATGTTACAATGTACCTGACATTTTCAAGGTTTTTAAGCAATATTTTCCCCCTGCCAATCTCCGGAACCATGTTGCAATTTCACTGACACATGGCTAGGTTGGTTATAACTCAAATCGTGATTGCAGAAATCCACAGAAGCAGTTCTCCATTAAGGAAACGATAAGAAAAATGCATCAATGGATTTTATACGCACATTTTGACGAAGTATCGTCCCTTTTATCTCGTTAGATGGTACCGGAAGATATTAAAATTGTGATGATATATTGAAAAGTACCTAACGTCTCAGACGGTATTTGCTACATTAGATGTATGTGTTTTTAGATACTTTGTTCGGCCAAACATTTCTCTATTTAACACTGGTCGTTCGGTATCAAATATTCCATATCATAAGCTGGCATTTTCTTTGTCCTTTTTCAAATTTAAAGAGATTATAGACAAAACAAATTAAATTGACCGAAATTATAATTTAGTACTTACGTATTTGTAAACTGAATGACAGAATCGGGCACTGACAGGTTCGGTGCAGTGTGATGGTGACCCTGCAGACACGTAGAGTGAGGTGGTTTGGTATGGTTAGTTTGATTGTGTTAAGTGCCTTTTAACAACAAATGACATTTAAGGACATGCCTCTATGTACGTACTGTATGGGTATGTACTGGAGGTTGTATGGCGGCGTAAGTGGCTCTATAGAGCGGATCTTTATATGCCGACTTTAGAGTGCTTCTTCACTGAAATACCATGCCGAAGGAGGATCACAACACATTATTTCCACCACACTAACAGTGAGTTAACAAGTTCTTGCAATTACCATTATTGCTGAACGTTTAGCAGGGTATACATGCTCAATGTTCCGCAGGGAGTTGAGAAATATGTTGGCTGGTTGGAAAGGACCTATAACCACGGATAATAACGGATAATAATTTGTGAACCGCTTTGAGACAACCTACGAACTAGGCTGTGATAAAGCGGTATATAATAACCGCCAATTGTTATTAATAATAATGTAACAACCAGCAATTCAAAGGACTTCAGTATGTCCTGGCCCAGGGGCTGAGTCCTGTAACAACCAGCAATTCAAAGGACTTCTGTATGTCCTGGCCCTGGGACTGAGTCCTGTAACAACCAGCAATTCAAAGGACTTCAGTATGTCCTGGCCCTGGGACTCAGTCCTGTAACAACCAAAGCCATAAGTGAGGTAGTGCCAAGCAAGGCACTAGAAAACTAAAACGTTGTTCGAAAGTAGAGAGAAACTACAGATATCCTAAATGTTTGCGATGGGTGCAGCAGGTTTATTTTTGTATCCCCAAGACGAGGACATAAAACCAAACCCTCATAACAGCAGATATATACTTTCATCAATTCCCAACTTGCAGGGCTTGTTTGGTGTTGTCACAGCTACTACAAACTGACTGTCTCATTGTACTAAGCATAAAAGTTGAAAGCCTCTAATAGCATATTGGTACATTTGTAAAGTCAAAATGAGCTCGGATATCGTACTGATAATGGCGTGAGAAAAATGGCAAGTCGTTGAAAGTAAATCGATCTAACCTCCTCAAATCGTTTTGTGATGTGGATAATGAAAGCTGATATTCATCTTATGACTTTGTGTAAATTGATCAGGTAAATTGGTTTTTGACTGAGATCTAGCAATGTCGACAAGTATCAACCATCAAAACGCCACTACGTCTGTTTATTAGGCTCATCAGGCGCCACCGCATGCTGTTAACAGCTCTATCATTGGTTAATTAAGGAGAACTACGGAAACCCGTATCGGACATATTTCGGCAAAGCGATAGATACCATTGTCTTACAAGAGATTGATGTCATTGATGTCACTCTTACTTCGTATCTGTCATTCTGCGATAGATGCCTGAACAAACTAAAACATTCATTGTTCTTTAGCGTACGTTGAACAAAATGTCAATGCAAGAAGAACGGAACTGTTGTGTAACGTTTTGTAACGTACCAACGTAACAACGACTTTCATATTTCAAATCAATACCAATTGTTGATAGCACATTAGTATGTACGACATGATTTACAAAAATTTGACGAAGAGGACGTGCGGCGGGAAATAAAGTCTTGGTTCGATTAAGATAAAAAAACAGCAAGAAAGGGTATATATCTGTCATGAATGAAAGTACAGTCAACGTTCAAATCATTCCATAGCTTTGTCCATCTAATTCATTATTGTTACATGTATCTTCGTTTTGGTGTGCTCACTTTTGTCCAAATTCTATATTCCTCCTCGGCAAACATGCCTTTATTCTAGTATTCACTTACATGCTTTCATAAAAGACACGTATAACATACACCATTACCACATACTCTCTCACCGGACTTGATTTCTCTCCTGGTTAGAAATCGTGCTTAAACTGCTGCGTCCGGGTATTGCTATTGAAAAACTACATTTACAATTCTGCAAGCGTATATTGGGTATTAAAAGAAGCACGCCAAACTACATGGTTTATGGAGAGATCGGGAGATTCCCTTTATATGTTGAAGTTAAAACCAGAGTAATTATGTTTTGGTATGAATTGATAACTACATGTAGCAATAGTCTGTCAAGCACTATGTATAACTTGATATTTAACTTACAAACAAATGGAATCATGGAGTTCAAATGGTTAAAGAATGTTCAGAATATATGTATAGAAACAGGTGTAAATCTTATCTGGGCATATCAGAAAACTTGTACGTTTAATAGAGATTATTTGAAACTTGTTGTGAAACAAAGATTACGAGATCAGTTTATTCAAAAATAGTTTAACGATATCGAGAGCACTTCAAGATAGCCTACCTATTCCAATTTTAAAACAAATTTTGAACTTGAAAATTACTGTGAAACTAAAGCCAAAAGAAAGACAAATTATTGTTAAGTTTAGAACCTCAAATATGCACTTACCTATAGAAACTGGAAGATGGATTGGAATACCCAAAGAAAACAGAACTTGTAATCTTTGTTTTAATGAAATTGTTGATGAGTATCATTATCTATTTAAGTGCGAACACGTATCTGTTAAACAAATAAGACAACTATTTATTCCAAATTACTACTATACTTACCCTAGCCTTACTAAAATACGTGGACTATTTACTATATGCAATGTAAAAGTTTTAAAAATTGTTAGAAAATTTCTAGAAAAACTTGAAAAGCTATTGAATGTTTGTAATTAGTTTGTAGCCTTTATGCCTTTGTTATCCGCCATGTATATATGAATATGATACATATTGACCTCTTGTTACATACTTTGTATGTCTGACTGAAACAAAAATCTGAGATCTGGTAAGACATTTATTTTTGTATATATACACACGAGAGTCAATAGCCACTCCGAATATTTGTCTAATTCGTGTCGCCATTTTCTGTCGTAGGGATGGGATTATAAAGACAACGTGGACGCATATGTTGTCGTGTATGCCACGGACGACAGACGGACGTTTGACCGGGCCATCGACCTCCTCTACTGTCTCCGCAAGGACGAAAAGAAAGAAAACGCGACCATACTGGTGGCAAATAAATGTGACCTAGAACGATCACGTTCTGTACCCATAGAAGGTAATTATAGTAATTTATGAATTATTCAAACCGTCGTCATAGAAGGTAAAACGATTGGTATACGATAATTTAACTCAAACTGATTGCTTATTTCGTTTTCTCTTTCGAATTTTTTATCATTAAAGTGATTTTGAAGAAACCATAGATATTCTAATGAAAATACTTTCAGTAATTGTATGAGTTTTTTTAGAATATCATAATATTTAGATAACCATTCTACCCCGCAACAAAGTAAGGGGAGGGGTGTAGTTATCAGCCTACTTATATTCTCAACTTATATTTAGAAAACTATTCACAAGGTAGTTGTTCGTCCGAGATATATTTTTTGATTTTGACTATTTTATTTATATGTGAGTTATGCCCCTTTTCTGATTTCTTTGAATGCATTTTGTATCAAGAGGGTTTTATGAAATTGGTGCACATATTTTGTACCTTAAATAGTCGGTACGATTTTGGTTTGTTTTTTATTTCTATTTAAGTTGTGTTCCTTTACTGATTCTTTTTAAGTGGTAGTGGGAGTGTAAGTTAGCCTATGGGTGCGGTTCATTATTCCATGGCCTAGGGACATTGCGTTTTCCCTTGGCAACTTGTCTAGAACTAGTTTGTAAGTCTCTCAGATCAACTGCTATCTACTCAGACAGACATACTCCAGTTTCCGCAAGGGCCTTGGTTTTGTCCTATTTCCCCTCTCAGTTTGACATCATCGGAATCTGTAATGCTACGTATTAAATTCATTTCAGCTGGTAGTTAGTAAAGAAATCGTGGTCTGACACTCTCTTACCAAGCCGTCAATAAATATAATTATATCTGTGCCGACGGTTACACACTCCTTTAGCCTGTCTGGTAGGAATCTCGCTTATTTATTCTCCTTGGTTCCGGAGGAGGTTTAATGTGCTTTATGAAAAGTGGCAAAAATGCGGAGGCGTATATAAATCACACATTTCAATATTTGTTATAATTCCTGGATCAAACTGATTTTAAAGTGAACATTTAACGATGATAAACCGCTTGCATGCTATATAAAAAATTATCTTCGACGCAAAAACTACAAAACTCTGTAAAACTGGAGAAGCAGTGAAAAATCAGTCTTTGGCAAAGAAACAGTAACACCAGCACACATAATAATGATAATAATAATAATAATAATAATAATAATCATTGGGGGTTCTTATATACCGCTTTATCACAACCTAGTTCGTAGGTCGTCTCAAAGCGGTTGCCTTTGCAACTAGCCAGTACATTTCTCAACTCCCTGGGGAGCATACAGCCGGAGCTGCCATTTCGGCGCTAACAGCTAGCATTCAACAATTCTAGCACTGCCCAACCACGTACTCATTTACAGCTGAGTAGACTTGAACAAGCGGAGTAAAGTATCTTGCTCAAGGATACAACACATTGCCGTGCCGTGGCGCGAGCCCGCAACTCTTCGGTCACGAGCCCGGCGTCCTACAACTAGACTACCGTGCCTCACACATGCCAACAGTATCACACTGTATGAATACATGTACTAGTTACTTGGGACATTTTAACCTGGAAACACATTAACACGAGAACAAATTATAACGGGAACACATGGACACAATATCAGGATATATTGCATACTTATCTAGGGACATATCAACCATTAAACTCAAGAACACTTCAACAGCAGGATAATGAACAAAGAAACAATGTATATTTTAACACCGAGATTGTACAGTGTAACATAACAGTTCTAGTGTTACGCTGAAACAAATAAAGTTACCGGTACTACTAATTCAGTGGGACTAAGTACATAGTTA